AGAGCCTTGAACATGGTTATTCGAGGACCTCATTCTGGCCAATGGACAACCGATTCAGGCCCGGACACCCTTTCCATTTCTCAAATTCTCCAACATCTTCGCTTTGTTGTACAAAACACTTTTCTGTATACTAGAGATGGCCCAGAAAAGTGTTTTGTTGTACAAAACACTTTTCTTCGAAAGCAAATCATCGTTATTCCAATGGGAACAAATGCTGGCCCAGAAATTTCTAATATGAAACTCTATTGTGATGAAGCATTCTTTGTTGATGACATTCGTCAACATGATCTCCAAGCCGCTCAACGATACGCCTTCACTTATCACCTCTTTGATGATGTTCTGTCATGGCGCCAATTACCTCCTCCTTCAGAGCACAATGGGCTGGAAGGAAACTGCGGCGACAGATGGCTCGTGTACCTTTTTAGGTATGCATCTATGAGTACGTTCTGATGGCTCGCTTCGCATGAGCGTGTTTGATAAAGCGGCTGGCGGGGATTTCCATGTCATTCGCTATCCTAGTGCTACCTCCAACATCCCTTCCCATCAACCGGCAGGTGTGTTCACTGGGCAATTGACCAGAACAAATCTGTAACAATTGGCATGACTTATGAACTGTGGCGACAACACTTACTCATCGCATGCTTTCTCGTGGGCATTCCCTACCAACCCTTGCTAAAGGGTCCATGCGCTCCCACCAACGTTGCTATCCTACGCATGTGACGCATCTCTCTCAATGGTTCCGACGCATGCTGCGATGGTCCCTGCATCATCCACTTTTCGCCCCCACGTCGCTCCCGTCCTGTCCCAGCTTGTTCATCTGCTGCTACTGCAGTTTCCACTGCTGCAGCTCCCACTGTGGTTTCCACTGCTGCAGCTTCCACTGCTGCTAGAGTAGACTTGGAGGAGGCAAATCCACACAAAAACCGGAGAGAAGATATGCACAGTGGAAGCTCAAAATACACACAAAATTGAAAAACAAATTTCAATTCTGCAATCCCTCGTCCTCCTCCAATCAATCCAGAGTACTTGTTCCAAGAATCACAACCGTGTTTACAACAACCCCGAACAACCAGAAACAAGTGTTCAACGAAGTATGCAGGAGTCTTCTTCTTCCTCCTCGCCACCTCATACCCCTGGCTATGGCTGCCGTAGCAGCAGTAACCCCACAGCTGTCACAACGTGCCAATCTGAACCAACAACCCTAATGATAACAGCGCCAGCTCAGCACCCGCACGGAAGTGCAGCGCTGGAAGTCCTGATGAAGAAGGAGACAACCGATCCAGCACTTCGAAGAAGAACAAAGTTCCTCGAGAGGAGGAACAGCAGATATGGCTGCCAAGTGGAAGATGGCAGCACCCAAACCCAACAACACAGTCCTGTGAAAACTCTCATGCAGAGCTACGAAATAGCAGCAGTGCTATCTTCAACTTCGTTTCCCAACCCCAGCTATGGCTGGGCTTCGAGGAAGAAGATGACCTCACCCAAAATAGAGCAGCAGCGCTCCAGCAACGGACGGGCAGATTTTCCCCGGCCAACAAAACATGAAAAGACCCAAACCAACTTTCCTGCCCGCTACTTCTACCCTCTGCCTAGACCTACTACGGACTCCAAAGGCCACAACACAATGACAAGGCAAAACTATGACAAGGCAAAAGGAAAAGGCCGAATGGCCTAAGGCTACTAAACAGAGACTAGTAGTGACAGATTTAGGGATCAAGTCCCATAGGGCTCAAAACTAACAAACAAAACATACAAATTACAGGTCACCGGATCAAGTCCCGCAAGCCTCTACTTGAAGGAAGATGGCAGATGAACACTTACCCATGCATTCGATCTGGCGGAAAAGCGCCAGTTGGTGTACACTTTCAGACCTTTCATAGTAAAATCATACACAAATCATCAGACCTTTCCTAGTAGAAGAGAGGAAACGATAATTTCTAAGATTCAATATAGTAGAAAATAGACAGAAAGAGAGGAAACGATAATTCTGGATTCTCTAAAAGATTATTCGACAAAGATTCATTATTATTTATAGAGACCCACGAGAACCCGCTCTCCACTGTTGGGAAACTTTGTGGGACCGCCAGGCGGGCCCGACAGATACCGCGCAAATGGTTCGGGGCGGGCCGAACCGCTCACGGCCGTTGGGATTGGCGGGCGGGCCGGGTTGGATGGGCGGATACAGCTTTCGGGAATCTGCGCCTGGCGATTCCCGAAAGTTCTATCCGGCCGTCGAATCGGCCTGCCCGCCAATCGTAACGGTGTTCGGGTACGGTCTTCGCTGCTTCGATTGACGTTCGTTGCTGCGACGGTCAGTTTCGCTGCTTCGATTGGCGTTCGGGTACGGTTTTGCTGTGACGGTTTTCGGCGCTCTGACGTACGGTGCTTCACCCGGTTTGAAGAGAGAGAGAGAGAGAGAGAGAGAGAGAGAGAGAGAGAGAGAGAGAGAG